CAGTCAAATTTATTTTCTATCTATTTTCCAAACTAATCAACGATAATGGTTAAACAGGATGAAACTTAAACGGGAAACAAGGTTATAAAACGGATCGTAAAAAAATACATGATCCTATAAAAGATTAACTTTTATAACAGGATATATATATTATATAGCATACGTCAAAAACATTTAAGAGCATTTACATCATCCCCCAATCGAAAGATGCCTTTAATTCTACCATTAAACTACTTAAAAGTCGGAGTAAATGCGATTTTCTAAGCATAAAAAACAGGGAGAGAAAAAAAACAAAGTATAAATATAATAATTCTTTGATTCTTCCGATCGGTTCTACACAAATCGAAATTAATAGCGACGCTTTTTAAAGCGATTAAAATCGTCCCTTTCTACTTTTTACTTTCCTTCCCCTCTTTAAGAAGGGGAGGGGGAAGAATAAATAAATAAAAGGAAGAAGAAGAAGAAGGGGAAGGAGAAGAGTCGAAATTAGATTTGAACTTGGATAATCCTCTTGCTTTGTAGAAATTCCTGCGGGTGATTTGGATAGTTTAAATCACTTTCTGCTGCAGGGTGAAGTGTCAACAAACGTACCACATCTTCCTCCTCCTAATTAAAATATTCTACTTCTATCGAATGCTGGATAAATGTGTAAATATTCGAAACTTTGACGAGTGTTTCCGGGATTCAAATCGTCTTCCTCGCTTCGTCTAATGTAGTTTAGGTGTTTGGTAAGACGAAAGGCCACGCGACGCGACGAGAAGCGAAGCGATATTTCTCCTGTCCGTTTCCGTCGTAGATTCTTAAAAACGGTGTTAACTGTAGTTTAATAATAGAAAACGGATCTAAATAGATATACTTTCTAAGAAATTAAATAAATAAATCGAAGATATTACTTGAAATTTCTTATTTTCTCCGCGTAAAGCCGAGCGACGCGTCGCGATAGAATTTCGTTCCTTTATAATATATATATATATATATTATTTTAAGCAGTATAGTTACTAAAAACAATAATTAATTAATTTAAAAACTTTTTAACAAAAATAAAACAACCGCTTTCTTTTTTCTTTTTAAATACGAAACATTACAGAATCAATTTTCTACATCGCGAACGGTAGCGACGCGACGCGCAACATTATATACAACAATTATACCAAGATCTTTTTTTCTATCCAAGTCGAAGTAATAATTTACATTCAATAGCTACCACTTAATTAACTGGTACGAAGTTATATTTGCTAGCATAGGCCATAACGTCAGTCGTGTAAGTCGTAACTAAAAGACAAGTTACTTTACGAGAAGAGGAGGAAAATATTGTAAGAAAGGAAGAAAAAAAAAAAAAAAAACAGTAAAGAAAATGAAAAAGTGGAGTGATTAACACGTTTACCTTCACCTGTAAAAACATCATTAATTTAGATAATGTGTATTCTTTATCCAAACTCCCTCACTTCCGTAATGAAGTGTTTGTTATGTAAACCGTACAAGTGGGAATAACTNTGATTTCTGACTAAATTAAATTTAACTATACAAAATATCGACTCTTTTTTTTAATGTTTTCCCTCTTCTTTTAAATAATTTCACATTTTTTTTATTATAAAAACACTTTTTACTTTCTGTAAAACGTAACAGCATAACATTACAGACAAACAGATAAGAGTGAATGTCACAAAATCCAATTAATGAGATTCATTCTGATATGGCACTTAATTTGTTGTTTCTGTTTTCTTTATGAAAGAAATTATCTGGATAGAACTAAATTGCCTGGGGTTTTCTGCTTTTTTTACGTTTATTCGGTTCGATATCGGTAAGTATCTTCGTTATTTATTACCTGTATCCATTTATTATAGTAATAAACATGCAATTATCATGATTAAAACTCATTCGGTAAGATTATCTCGTCATCGATCACGTGGCCGATTTATTATGGCAACACTAAGTAAAAATGGTCGAGTAGCGCCATCTGTTATCGATGTCGTTAAAGATGCCGGCGGATGTTACGTAACTTAACCGATCTTTCGGTTAATCGACGCGACTTCCGCTTAATGACGTAACAGAGCTAACGGGATAAGAGAGAAGGTGATTGGTTTTTTCGAGGTGATTCGAAAAAGTAACGGACTAATGAATTAATTGATGATTTTTCTTTGAGGATGCGCGCTTTACGACATGTGTAGTAGTAAACAATGCGTTTCGCTCGTTAAATTAAGGATATTAAGCGAAATTTATGCGAATAATCGAAAATCTGTATCAATTACCGGAGCGCAAACAGCAAACAAATCTTGGTAATAAGCAATATAGCGACGGAGACACGTAATAAAGCAAAGACCTCGGTCACACTACATATAATTTAAGCAGAGTATTAAATTCGGGTTCTACGTCATCTAAACGGCCTCCGGAACGTCGTTATTGTCAAAAAACGACTATATCGAGCAATCTGCGAGATTGTATTGCCCGTCACGACGTTGTCATACCTCCTTCATCATCTTAACATCCCTATTTTAAACACTACCGTCTCCTGTAGTTGCAAAGTGTGCTGCAGGATATCTATTTAGTGACACGTTCATTACCCGGCTAGACGAGTTTTAATATTTGATTGGTTTGCACCAGAGGAAGAAAAGGAACATGCCAGAGAGAAAAAAAAAGAAGAGAAGAGTCCCATTTTAGTAAATAAGTGACAAAGAGAGTAGTGTTGGATTGATTATTCCCATGGATTCACTTTACAGCGCTTCTCCATCCGTAACACTGCTATCAACACCATTTCGGTTCAACAAACTGCTACAAACGGTACTTTCTCTTAAAGGAGAAATTGCGCGCGCTCCCGACTCCATGATACTACTTTCTCTTTCTCTCTATTGCTACCTCCCGTGGGGTTGTCGCTAAGATTATGATTTACTACCCTAGAAAAATGAGATTGTAGAGTAAGAATGATGACCAGATATAAGGAAGTGTTGCCATAGTTATTTTTTTTTGTTTGTTATTCAATTCGAGCTTCTATTTCCCACCCACCCCCTTTTTTTTAAAGTTGGGATTTGAATATATATATGTCGATTGTGAATGGCCAAGACTTGTACCATATCAATCTTCTTCCTTGATTTGGTTATGGCATTTTTATCGGTTTCTATAAGTGAAATTTTATTGTAGCTAAGGGTGGGATTTTTCTTCATTTACGACTTTATTTTTTACAATAACGTCTTGAAGTTAAGCGGCTCAAAAGCTCCAATTCGTTTAGAGTTAATAAATTGAGAGCTTTTACAGGATATGCCAGAACGTCGAAGGAGAAAATATATATAAAAACAATGGAAAATCTATGATCTTAACACACTCCCATAATTAATTTCAAAGAATGATTTGTTAAGTTCTAGTATCACGTCTGATTTAGTGGATGAAATACCTCCTTGGGCACTCTTCTAATACTTTAAATCAAAATAAACTTCGTAAATTTTATTCAAAATACTTGCAATGGTACAAGAAAACACCGCGAGTTTAAACTGAACTGAAATATCCTTTCCGTTCCTCTCCGAAAATCACATAAAGAAGGCATTATATATAACATAGGATGGAGTCGACGACATACATAAGTTTATATAGATTTTACGAGAATGTTTGGCAATCTGTTCATTAATTCGCGCTTCGGAAAATTAAGGGATTCATATCGCCATTAAATAAGCATCATCCCATCCTGCTAAATAGGAATAACTTATCTCTCTTAATGTTCAGCTGTCTCATAAATCTTATTATCTATTAAACAAGTCGTGTAAAGGTTATAATCCTTAGATAATATTCATTTTACGATTATAAGGTTCTAACTACACCAGATAAATCTATTATACACGTATACAAACTCCCAAAGTTAACTTATAAGACATGTCATTGGAGCCACCAATGGGTTCACTTCGTATAACGCGCATTTCCGGTTCAATGGCCTTCTGCACGTGTCTACACCAATCTGGTTTATAAGCTATAGATTCTAACAGAATCTCGACAATTCCATTAAAGTTCAAAATTTGCTTCCAGGGTTAATTATATCTTTTAAAGGAGCTCGTTTATATATAGATTTTTGTTAAGGAGACCTTTCCTACATTCCAATTTAATGCAGTTACATGTTAGAGCAACCGAATTACTTCCTCCCCTTCAACTTAGTAAATGATTTATTATAGGATTGGTATAAAGATGATTACTAAAGTGAAGCTTTCTATTAATTTTAGATTGAATATTCAATTTAATTGAAACTTCTACATATTAAATTGTTCACTTAATGTACTTTGTAAATTGGTGATTTCTGACTAAATTAAATTTAACTATACAAAATATCGACTCTTTTTTTTAATGTTTTCCCTCTTCTTTTAAATAATTTCACATTTTTTTTATTATAAAAACACTTTTTACTTTCTGTAAAACGTAACAGCATAACATTACAGACAAACAGATAAGAGTGAATGTCACAAAATCCAATTAATGAGATTCATTCTGATATGGCACTTAATTTGTTGTTTCTGTTTTCTTTATAATATAATTCAGGGATTTAAAAATGATGTTTAAGTACAATTAATATATGCATTTTCTTCTAGATTATATTAATTCTTAGCTATTTTTGTAAAGTAATCACATCTTCCAGAAATTAAATTCAAAAATTAAATCTCTCTCAACTAAAATCTTTTACATAATTCATACTCTTAACTGTATAAAAATACATTTAAAAATTGATTTTTCATCTCTAAAACTGGAACACATGTTTACTTTAACTAAATATATCAAACTTAGACATAATTAATTCATTAATGACAACACAATACTAACTTTTTCCTTATATGTATATCAATAAAACACCTCTCTCACATACAAATATATATAAAATCTTCCCAAAACTTTTATACAATTAATTATTGAGCCCAACAAACTACTAATCTAAAAAAAATTAAATTCTATGACTTCTAAATTATTGTTTTTTTTTTTTTCTTTTCTTTTTGTACAATAATTTTTGAAAATTTAATTTTTTGGAATCTTTTTCATTTAAAATAATGGATAACAATACTTTTGAACTGTAGAAATTTATATAAATTGTCGAATATATTTACAATTTATGCTGAAAAATTCAAATCGTAATCCCGATTAACAAAATAGGGTAAAAAAATTAATGTCGGATTTATCGAAATCGGAGAAATTGAGCTCGAAAGGCACGTCCAATTTTTTTAACACTGTATACCATTGTGGATATTCTTTTAATGGGAATTGGGTAACAATCAAAAAGAATTGCTTAATTTAGTCTTTTAACATTATTTAGGGAAGAGGTGGTATTCTATGCCCAAGGCCAATCCAACTTATCACATTTCTGTGTCACTAGAAACTGTACAAAAAAAGTTCATAAGCAACCAAAGTAAAATAATACATTTTATGAATTAGCCTACAGGCATTATTTAAAAACAATTACCAATCACAACATTTTGATATATTTTGTCTGAATTCAAAATAAATTATGTAAACAAAAAAAGAGGTATAAGTAGCAACAGATAGAGATGCAGCCATGGTAAATTTCCACAGAATAGTAGTGGTATGTCAATAGATCCTCTTCGTTTCTGAGAGCAATCACAAGCAGCCAACGTCAGTCATTTCTACTATTTTATAGTAAATAGTTAACTGCGTAAGATTAGGTTAAAGTTCCCCGAATCAGTTTTTATTTCTGAATGGAATCAGAGAATAAAATTATAACGGCTGATATGTATGGGGATACTCAATGAAAGTTTTTACATCTTTTTCACAGTTTGATGGCAGTGATGAAATTAGTGAACAAAAATCTTTGTTATACTTCTGTGTTGTCGCCGGCACGGATGTTCTGGTATTGAGATGACACCACTCTACTCTGTCCGTTGCTCGCCACCACGGACACGACCCCGGATGATGAGGCGGAACCACCGAATTCTTTTCTTCTTTTTATCAAATATACGTTGACGGCAATAGCTATGACTAGAATGGAACCTAATGCGCCCACGATGATGGGAATCAGAGACATGCCGTCTTCGGAATGAGAGTTTTGGCCGACTTCGTACACTCCCTTGTTGTCTCTGTTGACTTTTTTATTTTTGCCATTGTAATTTAATTTTATCCTGTGCATGTTTGTACCTTTTCCGTCTGAACCGACGTGCTCCACGTCTTCCACTTCTCTCTTTTTCCGAAGTGAAACTTCTCCCAAATTTCCAAAAATGTGTTCGTCGACACTTCTCTTTCCAATTCCTCGAGCTGCATTTTCTTTAGATCTCACCGTATAGATACAATGTACAAACCATTGCCTACCATAAGATACCTGAAAATTATATAACACCTTAGAAAATTTGTTAACTCAAAAACTTATGAATATACTTTATTTAGATTGCCCTTTACCTGAAATAGTGGGGCAGAATCAAAGTGAAAACCGTCAGCACTGGGTTGTTTTCTAAGAGCTTCAACATCTGGAGAAGGATCATCACCCGACAATTTAGCATCAAAGGGAACATTTTTGAACTTTCTGACAACAGTATGTGGGGCACCTTTATCCTATAAAAAGATAAATTTAAGGTATAAAACTGTGTTGAATCTTATATTAAAAAAAATTTAAGATATTGAAAATATTTCCCATGTCATTATTATTGTTTTCTGTGTAAATTTTACTGGATATTTTTATTTTAAAAATTCAGATCAATTAATTTTCCACCAGTGGAATATAATACAATAGCTTAATTTTATTTTAAAACTTCTTATATTGAAATATTTTCTCCACAGCTTTACAAGAAATGAAATAGTGACATAACAAAATAATATCTGGTATGATAAATAACTTATAGATATATATTAATAAAAATCAAATAGAATATATAGTATATATACTGCACCGTAATAGTTCACTAATTGAGACTTATTGGGGGAAAAGCCTAGTGCAAATCTGTGAAAGTCCAAGTTAGCAAGATTTTACTCAAATGTATATTATACAATCTGAAAAGTAAACATTAAAGTCCAATTTTAAATGGAAGTGTACAAGTTGTCTATTGGCATTATCAAAAGAAAATTTAATTTCTAACAACAAAATATGAGCACTTTTGATGGTATATAACCATCATCCTCAAATACCGTGGCAGCAGGCCCGCCGTAAGCGGGCGTGCAAGGCGTGCACCGCATGCGGGCGGCACGTCCAGGGGGCGGCAAAGAGCCTTTCTGGCAAGCTCAGCATAGGTAATCGTAGTTAAACAGGGGGCGGCATAATCGGTATTGCACACGGGCGTTCAAACAGCTAGCGGCGCCCCTGCGTGGCAGTTTTCTCTTTCTCTTTTTAAAGTCCAATTTTTTTTTATGCACCTTAAATGAACATATACAGTGGACTTTTACAATGCAAAACAACTATTAACATTATTCTTGTCATTGTCATCATCCACTAACTTGAGCTTAAAAAAATTATAATTTTTGTTTTTAATTCCTTTTTTTTTTAACTGTTTTTAACTTTTTGATCACATCTTAATACCTCTGTCTAAGAGTTAACCCTGGCTTAGGTGGTCTGCAGATTAACTTTGTAGCATTGTAAGGTGTGAATCAGTTACAATGGGATCCAAGCTTTTTGCGTGGTTTAAGGGAATTCGCGGATTACTGGCCCATGGCTTAATGGCGCTACGCTGTAGTTTTACACCTAGAGTATTAAGGAAAATAAAAAGATTGAATAATTTCAGTTTTCATCCATGGTAAATTAGATGAGATTTGTATATTATTTGTACATAATCTGTAAATAATTATTATTTCCATTACACAGATTATCTAATCTTTAAAACGATTATATATATTTCTGTATCTTTTGTCATAATTTCGTCAACACTACTGAAGAATTTAAGTTGTTTTTCTTTTTTATTAAACAATTTAAACTTAATTAATCTCAAACTTAATTAAAAATTTATCAGTTCGTTTGACAAAGAAAGAAAACAACAAGAGGATTGGTTGACTAATTGATTTATTTAACAGAAATATCATCAGCCTCTACACTACAAGACTGGCTTCAGTTTTTATCCATTTTAAACATACCATTCATATAATAGAGTCAGCTAGCGCAGACAAGACATAGAGAATGATTCTTGAACTCAAATTACTCATGATAAATTATAAGGATCTTGATCAGAGGTGAAGTTGGATTTCCAAAGAAGCTGAATGAGAGTTTTATAAATGTAATGAAAAATGAGAGGCAAAAGTTGGCACTATGACTAGATCTATTGTGCATAAAATGATATTTCGCCATGCAGCCACTGGACTAACAAAAGGAATAAAATGATTATCCAATCATTCATATGCTTCTAGTTCATGCAGAATAAATCTCTTCTTACTATAATATAACATACTGCCAAAAAAATCAGTTTGTCTACTTATTATTATAATTAAATTTATTTTTATAGAAATATTTTCTTTTCTGATTAAATATACAATAAAATAACTTTGTTTACACATTAAACGTATTTAGTATTTTGACAAGATTTTAAACCATAAAAATCAGAAACTATAATGGTTTTATTAATTGAAATATTCCTCTATTAAAAATAATAAAATAATATATATAATTACTAAGAGATAAATATAATAACTTACAATTATTTTAAACGTATGTAAGAGATTTGGAGAATCCGCAACGCAACCATATTCTAAACTCGTAGGTTCATATTTTGGAATGTATCCGTCCACGCCGGTGCATATAAAACATTTCTCGATCGTCATAAAGAAGGAGTCGCCAAGATTCTGCACCGGATCCACCATTATTCTTCCATATATAATATCACCTAATTATATGATAATACTTTTAAAATTATGTATAAAATTTTTAATCTTTTTAAGGAAGCGTTTCAAATGTAAAATCCAATCAAAATTGCTTTTTATGGAGCAAAATATATGAACTTTTCAAAAATTCTTCAAAACAATTTTCAGATTAAATATTCATCCTCAAAACTTTAAAATTGAAAATAAAGTTTTTTGAAAATTTTCAATTGTAAAAAAGCAATTTACATTGGTAAAATACAATAATATAAAATTATTCAATTAATTACCAAGGCCAATATTACTTTATTTTTACATTAAAATTTTATTACTGTATGTTAAAGGTTTTGTTGATTGTACTTAGTAATTCGTTCCAGTTATTGAGAAGACAGTAATTTGCTGGCTCAATGGGTGATGTGACAAGGTGACTACATCAAGTGGCAAAGTGACCAGTCAAAAATGTTCTAAAGCAGAACACAGTGAAATCCTGTAAATGTACTTTAAACTTGTTTATAAACAGTTCATACAAGAATGCCAGCACTAGAAGTGCTCTCTTTGACAACTGTTCTGGAAACAGGATTCAAACCCTTAACTTTCAGTATAACAAGGCAAATATATTTAAAAAAATATTAAGCACATGCTCTAAACTAGACTTTTCCATAACTAATATATGTAAAACGTTCATTCTAAAACAAAAAAACATTTTCTTAATGTTTTTCAGCTCTTTAGCACCAATCATTAGGATTTCTAGTGTATCTCGATGCACATGTATCAAAAATATTAGATAAAATAAATTTTTTGTACCTGAAAGCAGTATAGATGGTGTTGTGTGTATGTAATACAAGAAACAGAATAACAAATATTCCCTAAATACATAAGGATTTATATCTCACATATCCAACCAAAGGGATGCCCTAGAGGGAAGGTAGATTGATAATGTTATGCAAATCTTAAGAGGAAAAGAATTTAATTTTACTCCAGACTAAAAACTTGTCTGTCAATAGGAGAGTTTGGAGAAGCGTGGTGGATGATAGTATAAAAGTTTAACTTTTTAACATGTTTACCTGCACACTCTCTGGGTATCAGCAGGAATGGATGATGATGATGATATACAAACAAGCAATGGTTGATACAGGGAGCTTAATCTTTCCTCATTTACAGAAAAAAAAATTAAAATTTATTTGTCTGAACTTCAAAACATTGTTTTTAAAACCATTTAAGATGGCAAATATGGTTTACCTGATCAAATGCAATATAACTATAATGCATTAATTATCCAATTAATGCATAACTATAATGCATTAATTATCCAAATACTGAGTTAGCTTCCTCTTTGGTTCTCCTGGATCCACACTATATACAAGTACTATTTCATCAAGGCAACTTTAGAGACAAATAATTCTAATTATTCTTTGTTTGTTCATTTTTTTTTCTCCTAAGATAAGCAACTGATAATTTACACAAACTATTCTAAGCCAACTGTATCGAAACAGATTCAGTGCATCGTTTAACCTATACAAAAAAATTGTACAGATTATGCATTTAGTTTTTTAATATTAATGTTGATACTTCTGAATTTTTTAAGAAAATTTATTCATCACAGATAAGATTCACTGCAATTATTAAATACTTTTGTAAAAAATATGATATTAATTATATAAACAATGATAAATAATACATTTATTTACTTTTTATATTTTTCAATATTTAATTTAATAATTGTTCTCAGTCAGCAGGGCGAGTGAGTTTAATGACCATATCTTTTAAAGTAATTGGTCTGATGGAGATTCAGGTAGCGTAATTGGCCATGCATATTTATGATAAACTGAAGTTCAAGGTTTAAATCCTGTTCTGGATCAATCTTTTCTTACAAAATACTCTCAGATTTTAATAACTATAAATAAATAATTTATTTATTTATTTATAGTTATTAAATCTGATACAAGATTGTGGCTTAATCACCTACCTTTATAACCAAATTGAAAATCTGACAATATCGCTTTATTATTATTTATTATAATATGATAAATATTTGAAATATTTATCATATTTTTCAAAATATTTTCAACAATAATAACATTGAATATCACAGTTTAAACAGTAAAGTATAAACCATACATGCACCAAAAAAAAGGGGAGAAATTGAGCCTCTGTCTTCTTTTTATTTTCTCTTTGACTGGAGATGTGGATTCTATTCTCAACTGGAACCGGACTACTGAACCAGTCTTTAGTAATGTAACAAATTTTCTGAGTATTTGAGTTATTTAAGTTAAAATCAAACTTAAGAATTCAAATAATTTTTTAAAAATAATCATTAAAATTAATGATTTCTATCAATAATAGTTTAAAAGAAACTAATACATTATTACTAAAATTTTAAGGAAAAAAAAATAGATATAATGTAAAGTGAGTCAGCCTAATTTTGTAAAAAGAGCTTTGTAAATCAAGCCAATAAAGTTTTTTCATTGTTGTTATTTAAGTTAATGTAATGCATGTAAATAAACTGCATAAAAAAAATATAAAATTTTAAACAGAGTGAGAGAAAAATGCAAATACTGGCATTTATTCTATTATCTTACTTTGTATTAATCTTTTTCTGTTTATGTACTGTTTTTTATAAACATCTGAAAAAGATAACATCATTGTGATTCTTATATAAACTTTCTTCTTTTTTCATGTTAATGAAGAATTTGTTTTTTTATTTTTTGTTCATATAAGTTTATTATCATTAACTTTGATGATTAGAGAATGTGACATATTAATAATAGGAGTAGATTTCCTTCTCACTGTTTTGTCTGGCTTCTTTTTTTAGATTTAAGTTATATATTTTTAAACAACTTGGAGTTGTTTTTCACATTAATATTGTTTATATTTTGGATATTTTCTTATCAAAATTTAGTATACTGACTAGTTATGTACTTGATACTATTTTGTCAAATTTATTTAAACTTATATTAATTTTAGTGAAATCTTGTTAAATAATTTAAATTAAAATATCTCACCAGGTACAAACGAAGCATCCAGATCTTCTCCAAAACCCATAGATCCGTCAGATAACCACAGTTCTCTTTTGCGCATTAAATGAAACTGCGTGTTCAAACTAAACTCTGCGGGAATCGGATCGCTGACTTGTTGGAATCTAATATGCATGTCGAAAGTGATCGGCTCTCGAGGATGACATTGAAGTGAATCTCCATATTCTAAATCGTCAGTCACGGTACAAGGTATCAACTTTATTTTATATATACCAGAATAATCTCTTACCTGAAAAATAGATTTAATTTTTAAATAATATAAATATAAATAAAATTAAATAATTACATGAAAACAATATATTTACTTTAAAAATTATATTCTATTCTGATATTTAAAATAATTATTTTTCAAATGTTCATTTTTATTCCCTTTCATTAGATTAAAATAGGTATTTTAGATATTTTTATAGCATAACACATTCTGTTGTTGCTTATCAAGAACTGTAATCAAAGAAGGAACAGTTGAAGTCAGAAGCAACAAAAAACAAAATAAAAAGTATCAAATGACTCAACTATTTAAATTTCAAAAGCCTCTTCACAAAAGAGATGCTATCTGAATTACTATTTTTAAACATAAGTAGCACTTTAAAAATGAAAAAAATAATAATATAAGATGGAGATAAAAATAAATAAATAAATAAAGTAACTTCTATCTTCGTTTTTAACAAAATAATACATTAAATGCTTAATACGTACGGCAAAATCTGACACAAACTGCCATTCTTGGTTAGGTTGGGCAAAAGAAGGTTCACTATAAACTAATTCCAAAGTGAATGTTAAATCGGGATGCTCTGGTGCAATAACTGCTGATTCTTGCCCTGTGCCTAGAAAAAATGTTGAAGTTTTAAAAACTGTGAGATAATATGTTAATTAAAATTCTTTATAAATTTACTATAACAATATATGTAGAAATTATACAGAATTTATGCACTGTTCTCGTTCATAAATCATTTTGATAAAGATAAAAATAAAGTTTGTGAAGCCATTATCAAGATTTATGTATATCCAACAATGCATTATAAAGAAAAAAATAATTGACTTTATTTTTATATCATTGAAATGTTTGAAACATACAAGTCTCTTAACAAAAAGTATATCAATTTTTTATGGCATTTTCTAGACAGAAGAGAGTGCCAAAATAAGAAGAAAAAAAGAACAAAAAACTTTGCAGAAACTTTGACTTTCTAAGTACAAAAACTCTATTCTATAATGTTAAACATTTCTATTTCTTTTTTGTTTATACGCCAACTTTTTCAACAATGCCAATGCCTTAGACTATAAAAAGTTGCAACTTTTTAAATTTCTATTTTATTTATTCACAAAAACTATTTTGTAAAAAAATAAACAGACCTGGATGAGTGAGAACGAATTGACCTCGAAATCTAGGTTCTGTTCGAAAGTTTACCAACAATTTTCCGTCTTCTCTGATGGTCATTCCGGTCGGATAAAGGTAACCTGATAAATGAATACAATATTATAAGACTTTCTATTGTAGAAAATTTATAATGCAGTAATTAAAATTACCTTGCAGTTGAGATTCTTCTGGTGCACCGATACCTTGCTGCCAAAGAATTGCAGTGTCATACACGAATGTTAGACGCAACTGAGAACTGAGATCGTTATGCTGCCACCCACCAGTAGCAACTGGAGAGTGAAAAATATACGAAACATAAAGTGGTACTGTTATAGAAACATATGACTGCACCAAATTTAATACCTATAAGAAAAAATTTTAAATCATATAATTTATATACTCTAAATAAATTATTGTACAATTGACCCCCCTATAACACTGTTGATAATTTCGTTTTATATGAATTCCATGTTGTACGAGTCACTTAGATTTTACAAATACATGAGCTGTTCACAGCCCAGCACACGTATTTGTAAAATCTAAGTGACTCGTACAACATGGAATTCATATAAAACTGAATTATCAACAGTGTTAGGGGGGGTCGACTGTATTATTATAACAATTTTTATAAACTTATTAACAAAATATGAAAATATAATAAAATTACTTGTCCATCTGTACTGATAACTCCTCCACATAATGTTACTAATTCTGACATATCAAAATATGAAGTAAATTCCCACATACAAGCTTCTAAATCTAAGTTACGATAAAATCTGTAATAAATTTGTTAAATTAGTAGGCATAAGTTATTTCAGAATATTATAGAAATTTTTAATTTTAATAACGTATAGCAGATTTACCTTAAAGATGAATTGCCCCGCAATTCTTCACTATACTGATATGGTTCCACATCACCAATAACATTTTCATTTTTTGTCTCATTTGTGAGAAAACCATGCTTTGTTTGTATTTCATTAACATCCAATAAGTTGGAGCATTTGTGAAGACCAATTCTTATCGCATCGGGACTCAAAGTCAATTCGAAATTAGACAAAGGTTTTGTTGAAATTATGGGCAACATACCATCCCAATGAGGGATTATGATACTTAGTTTAATCAAATTCGAAAAATCATCATCTTTAGGACCTATTAAAAATAATTTAAAATTAAATACAGTAATGTATTTGAAGAAATGGTAAACGCAGCTTGCTTTTTAATTATTATCCTACTTGTCAGATAATTTTCAAATAATGAAAGATACCTGTATATCTCATTTTGGCCGTAAACGGTTCTGCTCCAAATGCACCTTCGAGTCTTGGTGTACAAAGACCATCGGTGGTTGATATGGTTACGGACTCGCTATCCAATTCCAGTCCTGGATCTCCATCAACATTTACTGCCCGAGCAGCACACTGCACCCTGCTTCCTATCAAATATGCATTTAAACTATTAATATTGTAATGATAATATCATTAAAATTTTTTATATAGCTCTTTTGCTTATAATAATTTGTAGACTACCTGCTGAGAAATAAATGCTATCTAATGTAATAAAATGTGGACTCGTAAAAAATGTAATAGCTTCTACGTCTTTTAACAGACTCGTCACCCCATCTCGACCGCTCGGAGCAGCCACTCTCCATCTAAATTCAGTCAATGTATCGTTTATTCCTTCTTTAGTGCACAATATTCCAGTTTTTGAAAACTCTGGATGTTTAGGATTGCATGCCTGAAACAAATGAAGATATAAACAATCTGTAATATAAAATTTAATCTAAAAAATCAGATAAAAATAAGGAATAGTCTAAGAATAAGGAAGATCATTGGAAAAAATCAAAATCTGTTAAAGTTAAAACTGCACTCTATGTGTGAAGAAATAGTTTCTACTGATAATAATCTTATGAACTGTCAAGCAAGATGATAAATCTTTAGAGAAAAAGTATTAATCGTATTGAAACTTTATTTATAAATTATTTCATAGAAAGTTATTAGTCATTGGTCGTTACAATTAGGCTATTATATTCTTAATAGTATTAATAGTAATTTTATATCAAATCAAATTTATACTTACAGTTACGCATATTACCGGATACCCTGGAGTAGGATGCTTTCTGGCACTGGCAACGTTATCATAATCTCGAAGAGAAACAACTGTCGGTCGCGTGGGAAACGTTACGTCGGCAACAATATCCATTTCTTGAATATAAATAATTGCTTTCGTATCCTATATCAAAAGATTTATAGCATTGAAATTCATTATAAAATTCAATCTCTATGCTCCAAAATAAATAAGATGTTTATATTTATAACATTGTTTTTATTAAGTTCAAACAATATTTTATTTTCATTGTATTGTATTTTGTAAAATATTTTTGAAGAAGAAAAAACATCCGGTTTTTTAGTGTGATATTTAAGTAGAACTTGAATTTATA